CATTATATGTTTGATATGTATGGTATGTGATATTTTAGGGAACTTACTAAGCTTTGTGCTTACAGTTTTCAGTTTATGTTTCATGTATTTCTGGTTCGAAGGGGAAGAGCCCGAGATGATTGTAGTGCACACACCACATTGTTCTGTATTTTATATTACACTGATGTACTTAGTTGTTTATTGATACACTTTGATTCACCATGATTTCTATGATGTTGTTTTGGATAATGATTTTATTAAATTAAAAAACAAAATTTTAGTTTTAATTTTTGGAACGTGACAACGTCTCTGAAAAAAATCGACTGTTTTGTCTCCTCTTATTTTCAATAAATAAATTCGAGAGTAATGATTTTCTTGTTTTCTTACTTTTCTCTCATCAAATAAAACTCTAGAGAAATGTGTAAATAAAATACGAGGACACATTTCATTCTCTTTCTCTCCTTCTCATAAAAAAAATCTTAAGAACACAATTTTCTTCTAATTTTATTTCATTTCTTTGCTTAAAAAAACTCGAGAACAAGACATTAATGATGAACCTTTCCAATATTATCATCCAAGAACTATAGAAATAAGAACTAAAAATGAAAATTAAATCCATCATTTTTTTATAATCACATAAACAATCTAATATAGTCTCTAAATATGTTTAAAATACTCCATAAATAAATGTTTACCCGACCCGTGGATCGTCAACTACCCAACAGGCTAGAAATGATTCACGTCATTTCCCTTTCTATTCGCTTCACAGATGCGCACATTCAACGCACCTGGACGGCTGGATCTTTCCACTGAAATGCTTCTTCTTCCAGCGTGTTTCAGACCTTCACTTCGAATAACCCTTTTCAAACCCTTTCTGTGGACCAACATTGCTGCGAAGAATAAGAGTAGCAGAAGCCTCTCTTTCCCAATTGTTAGGGCATCTTCCGTTTCAACCTTTTCCACTGCTAGCGAGGCCGCTGTTATGGCGCAAGATGGACCGATCAATCAGCATCCCTTGCAGGTTTGTTCAAAATACCCGCTGATTCTGCGTCTTCGATTTAGCTTTTCGATGTCTTTGATGTCAATTTGTATTTGCTCATCGCTTGTTCTGCATGTGCTTGGTTTAAGGTTTTGCAGAAAAGGTGAACTTGGAAACGAACAATTCTTTTAAAAATATCAAATAATAAGGTTTTGCGATTGTGTTGTTCCCATATTGGAAAAGCTAATAATCTTGGAAATAATAAGGTTTTTCGATGTCTTTGATGTCAATTTGTATTTTCTCATCGCTTGTTCTGCATGTGCTTGGTTTAAGGTTTTGCAGAAAAGATGAACTTGGAAAAGAACAATTCTGTTTAAAATATCAAATAATAAGGTTTTGCGATTGTGTTGTTCCCATGTTGGAAAAGCTAATAATCTTGGAAAGGAAATTGAGGTGTGAAATCACTCATGAAAGTTGATTTGGGGGATTAATGAATTTAGGAGCATTCTTGATGGTAAATAGATGTTTCTACTTATATATTTTTTAATAATCAGAGTTAGCTAGTTATCTAGATGATGCTTTAAGACATGTATTTTGGATCCTAAATACATTTCTTGAAGAATCATTTAGATACTTAGCTGCACAAATTTTGTGTAATGACCATCAAATATTCTTTTTTCACTAATGATAATTTAATTATGTTCATAGATCACTGGTATTTCATGCGGTTTCCTCTGTTATGTGCTATCCTAGATTTTGTGTTTTAATACTTTGGTAAGGAGCCTGAAAATTGAAAACAGAAGCTTACAAATATAGCTTTAGGACATAATATTAGGCATGGTGTTCTAGGATTATTGTCATGAAAGTAAATATGTATACCGTTTTCTCTTTTAAGTTTTAACCTAGGCTTCTTCCTCACTAGGTGTGGAAACCACCCTTCATCTCACCATATTTTCTTTTCTCTCTCCCACACGCAAATCCAAAGCTAATCCCATGCTATGCCATTGATTCCAATTAACCACACATTCTAACCTTGATAGCGTTTGGTTCGAAGGAATGGAATGGTGAAAATTCATTCTAGAGGGATTGGAATGGAACTGAAAATGGTCAACACACACCACCTACAACAACTATACCACATAAGACCTTCCACAAGAAGAAGTAACCATTTGTTGTTTTTTTACAGGTGGCAAAGCGGTTGGAAAAGTTCAAAACTACAATCTTCACACAAATGAGTTCACTCGCCATCAAACACAACGCGATCAACCTCGGCCAAGGCTTCCCGAATTTCGACGGTCCAGATTTCGTGAAAGACGCGGCAATCCAAGCCATCAAAGACGGTAAAAACCAATACGCACGCGGCTACGGAATCCCCGATCTCAATTCCGCCATCGCTTCCCGATTCCAAAAAGACACCGGAATCACAATCGACCCGGAATCCGAAATCACCGTCACTTCGGGGTGCACCGAAGCAATCGCCGCAACCATCCTCGGCCTAATAAACCCTGGAGACGAAGTCATACTCTTCGCCCCTTTCTACGACTCATACGAAGCTACACTCTCAATGGCCGGAGCTAAAATCACCTGCATCACGCTCCAACCTCCCGATTTCGCCCTCCCTCTCGAGAAACTCAAATCCAAAATCTCGAAAAACACACGTGCGATTCTTCTCAACACCCCGCATAACCCAACCGGAAAAATGTTTACAAAAGAAGAACTCGAACAAATCTCGTTGTTATGCATCGAAAACGATGTTTTGGTTTTTAGTGATGAGGTTTATGATAAGCTCGCGTTTGAAATGGACCACATTTCGATCGCGAGCTTACCCGGGATGTATGAAAGGACTGTGACTATGAATTCCTTGGGGAAGACTTTTTCGTTGACGGGGTGGAAAATCGGGTGGGCGATCGCCCCACCGCACTTACTATGGGGAGTCAAACAAGCGCATTCGTATCTTACGTTTGCGACGTCCACCCCGATGCAGTATGCCGCAGCGGTAGCGTTAAATGCCCCGGATTCGTACTATGAGGAGTTGCGAAAGGATTACAAGGGTAAAAAGGAGATTTTGGTGGATGGGTTGAAGGCGGTTGGGTTTAAGGTGTTTCCATCAAGTGGGACTTATTTTGTGGTGGTGGATCATACGCCATTCGGGCTTCCGGATGACGTGGCGTTTTGTGAGTATTTGATTAAGGAAGTTGGTGTTGTGGCGATTCCTACGAGTGTTTTTTATTTGGATAAAGAGGAAGGGAAGAATCTTGTGAGGTTTACGTTTTGTAAGGATGAGGGGACGCTTAGGAGTGCGGTTGAGAGAATGAAGGAGCGGTTGGTGAAGAAGTGAGGATGTTATATTATGTTATGTTATGTACTTTGGGTGACCCTTAGTTGATGACCTACATTGGAGTTCTATGAATAAAATGTGGTGATTTGAAAATAGATCTATTTTGTTAACTATGGTATTTATATGATAATACACTTATAACATAAGTTTTTAGATGTTGATTTGAAAATACATCTTAAACAATCTTCTTAATAAATTCTTTACTTATTTGACTTGTTAGAAATAAACTATAATCAAAATCGATTCATTTATGTAAGTTTGGGAGATCAACGAAACAAGTAAGAGAAGGAAAAGGATTTTGAGCTATTTTCGAAAAGTAAGAGGCTCAATTGTAAGAGGGTATTTCTAGTTTTCTACTAGTGCTAAAAGGGAAAGAGGAGCAAAAGGATAGATGTGAAATTTAAGGTAAAACTTGAGGAAAAATATTCATTACTGCAGATGTGGATTTGGATTGATTAGAAGTAGTAAGCAAACTTGATTAAGAAAGATCTAGTTAGTTTAGAATATTCTTTAAATCGGAGATAAAATCATCTTTTTGGGTTTTGTTGTAAAGTTCTGATTTTGGTAAACTGTTAAACTTACTAGTGTTTTGTTAGCATGGCGTTAGATAAGGGTTGTATATCATATCATGAGTTTGTGCTTAGATAGATAATCTAATTAATACATTTTGAAATCTTAGTAATCAGTTGTTATGTTTGATTAAGGGATAATGTCACCGTGACTCTGAATTTTTAGTTTTGGTTTATATAGTACCTATGTTATTTTTTTGGCCTTCTAAAAGTATGAATATCATTATATTAGAAAGGTCATCCGGTAAACATTTGCATAGTAAGGTTGCCTAAGATTGCATGTCATGTCATTTAAAATTGGTTCACATGGTGCTGAATACTTTTTAAAATTGGTTCATATGGATTTTGACTACCTAAATGTCTCAACTTTTAGCATTTTCAAAAATTGCCCACCATTTTCGGAATGGTAATATCGGACTTCAATGATATATAATTTGATTTTTTCTCGTATGCATCAATACTTATTAAAAACATTATTTATCCATTTTGAAATGTTTTAAATCATGTGTTTTTCACCAAAAAGTCACATTTTATGTTTTGTACTGTATCTATTTCCACTTCATTATGTTTCCTTAATTTTTTGTTAGATTTAAATACAAAAAAAATATTTTCTCGAAATTTTGGATTTGTTAATCGGATTTTAGACATTTTATTGAAAATTTGGAATATTTTTCACCTGCCCGGAATTCGAAATCCGAAATTTTAATCTAAAATGTCATTTTCATGTCATAATTATATACTTTTAGTTTGACATATAATTAGTACAAAATAAGCTTGAAATGCCCCATATTTTATGACATAATAATCATCTTGGTAAAACCAAAAACAGTTGGATTATTTATTTATATTTGAAAATTTTGGATGATCACTTCTATATAAATAAAAAGCTTTCAAATATAGAGAGTAACATCATCCAACTACTAACTATTAAGGGGGTGATTGAGAGTGTTTTTGAAAAACATAGACTTTCTGAAAAAGCCAATAATTTTTGTTTTTTTGGTTAAAAAATTAGAATTTACCAAACTTTTTTTTTTTTTTTTAAACTTATTTACTTTTTTTTTTTTTAAAGTTAATAAGTTAAATAAATCATTTAAAAAAAAAATACCATACAACCTTTAACCCCTAAAGAGTAACACAAGAAGTTGATAGGGGCAACCAAGTCTAAAATTTTGGTAGAAGTACAAAACAAACCAAATCTTTCAGCAATCTTTATTTCTTTATCGACAATACGGAGAGTAAAGTCCTGCATCAAAGGGGTCAACTTTCCTTCGCATTTCCGTTATGTGGTAATCAACCATACGCGTACACCGACCCAGCTTATATACCTCGCCAACAACTTAACCAGATCTCCTCCTCATTCACAGAAATGCAGCACTAGTTGCATTTCTTTCTACTCCGATCTCATCTCTGATTCTTCGTAGATCCCCTTCGGGTCATCCTGTAGTAGACAAATCATGAATCCGCGTGCAAATCATGGTTTTGTCATTCTATTCCTCTTCGTTTTCCTCGTCGCATCTCGCGTTTTCGCTCAGGTATATTCTTTATGTGTTTGTTGATTCGCAATTGAATAGGATATGAGCCAAAGCTATCCATTGCGGAGAATTGATTTGAATTCTGTTTACTTTTGTTGATTTCAGGATGTTGCCGGTGATAATGAGAAGGACGACTCAACCGGATCCATTATAGATCTAGGTCGGCGTAGCAAAGTGAGTATACAAAACCCTATTTTTTTTAATATGGTTGTAATTACATTCTACCCATATCACATGCGTCTATCAAAAGACATGATTAAAGTTGAAAAAATTAAGTCACTTCAACATACAGGGAATTTGGGATCTAGAGGTATAACAGTAAATTCATGGTCATATAGCTATAATATTGTGATTTGTGAACTGACTTGAAACTGTTAAAACCCTTATACACTGGAAGCCCTTCTGTTGAGGATGAGCATTTAGACACATATGAACTCTTTCAATACTGATTCATAACTTTCCTCTTTCCTATGTTGAGGTTTGAATAAGATTCTAATTATTATTCATCATACATCTTAATGCGTGAATTTACTTTAAACAGGTTGTTGTGGAAAGAATTAAAAACAATGTCATAGGTGACAAGATTGATCCAAAAGCTGTACTAAATTTGGATCCTGGTCTTGGTGTTTTGGATGCATTTTTTGCCAGTTTGTCAATGATTCTTGTCAGTGAGGTATGTTCTTTCCCTATCCTTTTTTATATAAGTTTCCACAAATGTTTATTTCTCAAAATTACATAACCCAATATTCAATTTATTGCTTCCATGTAGATTGGAGATGAAACTTTTATTATAGCAGCTCTTATGGCAATGCGTCATCCAAAGTCAATTGTTCTATCAGGTGCACTCAGTGCTCTGTTTGTTATGACTGTAAGTTTGCTACTTTTCTTGATACCCTTTTCAGAAGATAACATATTTTATCCACAACACTAATTGCAACAATGAAAAATCATATATATATATTAGTGTGCTTCTAAGTTTAGTTTGGTTTTACTTGGTATGTAGATACTTTCTACAGGGCTTGGTAGGATTGTTCCAAATCTGATATCAAGAAAACACACAAACAGTGCTGCTACAGGCATGTATTGAGTATTGACATTTTATATCATATAAAATTAAAATTGCATATAAAAATATGAAGATTGTGAGACATCTAAATCGTTTTTTCTACAATCCAGTTCTTTATGCCTTCTTTGGGCTGCGTTTGCTCTATATTGCTTGGAGATCAGACTCAAAAGCATCTCAAAAAAAGGAGATGGAGGAAGTAAGTTCTTTTTTTTTCTTCATTAAGGGTTATAGTTTTTATATAAATTCAGGCTTTACCTCATTATTAAATACCCAAAAAACATTCCAGAAATCTGATTCTATCACAAAATATATGCAGGTAGAAGAGAAATTAGAGTCTGGACAAGGCAAAACAGCTGCCCGAAGATTCTTTTCTAGATTCTGTACTCCTATTTTTTTGGAGGTATAATATTGTTTTTTTATTTCATCTTTTCATTTAATATGATTACTCATTAGTCTATGAGGAGCTGTTTCTTTTCGACTTAACAGACTTAATAGAGTAATCACTTAATATATGAACGTATACACAACAGTTTCTTTTTGACTTAAACTGGATAAAATGACTTAGTGCATTAAGACACTAACCTTTTACGGTTTTACCTATCTATCTTTCTTCTTTTTACTGATATTATTTTGACTCTCTTCTGTGGTTGCAGTCATTTATACTGACATTTTTAGCGGAGTGGGGGGACCGAAGCCAGATAGCAACTATTGCTGTAAGATTTTTCTTTTTAGTTTTTACCATTAAGTGTTGTCTGGATAAATGATATTTAAATGTATCTGATAAAATGAGTTTTGTGGTTGGAATTTGCAGTTAGCGACACATAAAAATGCAGTTGGTGTTGCATTAGGGGCAACAATAGGTCACACGATCTGTACATCAATAGCAGTAATTGGGGGAAGCATGTTGGCATCAAAAATTTCACAAGGCACGGTTGCGACAGTTGGGGGTTTGTTATTTCTTGGGTTTTCTCTCTCATCTTACTTCTACCCTCCTCTATAACCTCGTGTAATTTCACTTTGTTTTATTCTTTTTGTATTAATATTAGTTTATGTAAAACGTTATGTTGATCGATATTTTGACACATCAATATTCAATAGTCAAAACAGTACACTTGTGTTGTGTGCATTATATATTGTTGGCCACTTCATCTATAAAGGATAATTCAAATTGGATTACAAGAGGTTTTTCATCGTTCAAGACGATTAAGCTTTTGCAGCTGCAAAATTTGGAGTTTCATATGTCATTAAAGGAATGATAAGTAACATTTCACTACAATTGGCAAGATCCTCTTGATCATACGCTCTAGGATGTATATTCATATCTAAGTTTAGGTTAGAGGTCATCAATAAATGTAAAGTATCATTACCTTGTACCTGCAATAAGGCAGACACGGTTTAACTTTAGTATGAATCCGTTTTGCAATCCAAGACCTCAAATCAAACAAAAAGTTGTTAATGAGTTACACAAAGTGTATGGAGAAAAGGATACTTGGGATGAAGATATTCGACTTGAAACATCCTGAACTAACAAGCTGAATGTTAGAAAATGATATTTTTGATGATGTTTGAAATTGAAAAGATGATAATTTAGTGACTTTTGAAAATAAAATAACGAGTTTAACTAGCTTTCTCATGTCTTACAAATCTTATTTTAAGGTCTTACGGTTCTGTGCTCTTTTTTTTATTCTACTTGTCGGAGTTTAGTTTTCCAACGCAAGTCTTTCTCCGATCACATTGTGTTGATGATTTTCCAGAATAAGTTTCATAATTCAAGTTTCTATGGATTTATTTTGGTTTTTCATGTTTGTTGTAATCTGGAGGCAAATGAGTTGGTGGTGGTGGGGAGGAGAATCGCACAACGGAAGAGAGGATGATGGTGTCGTTGATAGAGCTGGGGAATGCAAAGACTATATAGTTGGTGTTGAATGAGAGTCGATGAAAATTGGGCGTAGTGTGCACTTTTTGCAGCAATGGTGGTGGTGTTGATAAACTTACTAAAAGAATTGATGATTTTTCCGGGGGGAAAAAGTGAAGGATTTTCCTTAAAAAATTAAGTAAAATAAAAAGTATTTAGTTTTTTTTTTTTTAAAGGGAAATCTCTAGAAAAATCTCATGATTTTAAGAAAATTAATGATTAAGTCCCAAAAAAAAAGTTGAATAGAAAAGCCTAAGAAACCAACAATTTTCTTCACTTTAAATTCTTTTGATCTCTTCAACAGGTAATGAGACCAAATCGTTAATTTTACAAAAATAATGAGATTTTTCAGCAGATTTCCTCAAAAATTTTTATGTAATGTATAAATGTATTTTTTATGTTTTTTATATATTATTTTATGTATTTATGTATTTTTTAAAAACTTTTCTAGCGTTTTTTTATGTATTTTAAGTGTATAAACGTATATTTATGTATTTATATGAATCTGTAAGTATTTTTATGTACTTTTATGAAATTGGTAATTTTTCATGATATATATATATATATATATATATATATATATATATATATATATATTAAGTTTTTATATAGTTTTTCTTACATATTTTTATGCACTTGGATCATCCATGTGGTTTGATTTTATTGCGTTTTTCGTCCCTTACATACATAAAATTAGAGAGTAAACGTGAAATTTTGACCAACCATAGTGACGAAAAACGCAACAAAATCATACCATAGGGACGATCCGCGTGCAAAAAAAGTTAGAGATCAAACATGCAATTTTGACCAAATCATAGGGACGATTTCAGTAATTTATTCTGTTTTAAATTATAAACGTATTTTTTTTTGCGTATTTATAAGTATTTTTTAAAAGTATTTTTATGTATTTTGATATATTTTTTATATATATTTATATATTTATTACTTCAAATTTTATTGTAAACTAACTATTATACTTTGTAAATGAAGATAAAAAACACTAAAGTACTTGAAAACAAACATTTTTCAAAGACGGTTCTTAGCAATCAATGCCATTTTTACGGGTAAATTCTTCCATTTTTCTCGAATTCAGTTATACATGAATAAAGTTTACGAATATCTTTGTCATTATATTGTAATGTTTTTTTTCTTTGTTTATAAGGTTTTATAGGTAGCTTATAATGAAACTTGAATTATAAAAATACACCAATACATAATTTTTTTTTTACAAAAATACTTAAAAATATATATAAATACATAAAACTATTTAAAAAGTACAAAAATCGAAGACTTTCCCTGCAAAATAATGACGTTGATTAATAATGATGGTTTTTGAAATTTTTTTGTTTCGATATACTCTATTGTTTTTTTCTTTTTTTACAATGTCTTATAGTTAGCTTAAAATGAAACTTGAATTATAAAAATACATCAATATGTAAAAAAATTTACCAAAATACTTAAAAATACATATAAAGACGTAAAAAAAATATAAAAATATTAAAAAAATACATAAATACATGAAAAAATATACCAAAATACTTAAAAATACTTAAAAAATCATATAAATACGTAAAAAATATGTTTATATATTTAAAATACATAAACAATATAAAAAACCATAGAAAAAACAAAAAAAAAAAATACATAAATACGTAGAAAAATATACAAAAATACATAAAAATATTTAAAAATACGTTTATACATTATAATTTTGAGAAAATCTCAGGTTAAAAGCGATTAAATGGTACCGGTTTCTTAAGCTTTTCTATTTAATTTTTTTTGATTTAATCGTTAACTTTCTTAAAATAATAAGATTTTTTCTAGAGATTTTATTTTTTTTTTAAAATAAAAAAATTTGGATTTATGCATAAAATACAAATCAGTCCGATCCACAACAAATGTGATGGTGCGAAGAGGGCCTCTCTGTAAATTAATTTATAATATTTTCTCCATTTTACTTTTATAAATGTAACAGTAATACCACACGATTTTGCTATGTTCTGAAGCTGCGATATTTTCAATGGCAGCTTTGATACCACCACTATCATTCAGACCCACTCAAACAATCACCCTGAGCCTCCCTCTCATCTACAGATCCTCCCCCAAATCATTTGCAACAAAAATGGCTTTCCATGTCACGGCCGCTGCCGCCTCTGCTTCCACCGTCACTACAAGAAAGCTTCCCGTTTTGCTGTTCGACATAATGGACACGATTGTTCGCGACCCTTTTTACCACGACATCCCTGCATTCTTCGGGTACTTTTTTTGTTTCACTTTCAGAATTACCATCATATTTCTCATGAAGATCGATTTAGTCAACGTAATCTAACTATCTCTATTGCTGGACCTGATCCAACGGATTATCCCCTTTGTTATAGTTTGGACTAAGTATCACATGCAATTACATAGATGCTATATTGAATACTAATCTGGAGGAAATTTTCACCTCTTAGGTCAACTATAGTGTGTTTAAATCCACAAATTCCTTATAGGTTCTCGTTACAGTCTGTTAGGGATTACTTATTATGAATTCTGATTTGGTTAGTAAGATTATATCAATTGACTGTGAAATGCATTTCTTCTGAGATATTTTATGCTCTACAGAATGTCCATGAAGGAACTATTAGACTGCAAACATCCTACAGCGTGGATTGAGTTTGAAAAAGGTCTCATTGATGAGGTATTGTTGGACATTCATCATTCATATTACTAGTTTTTGCAGAATGTCCCATGTACATAACATTTGATTGATCTTTCCTATTTAAAAGTAGTGTTTATGATTTATTCATAACATATAAGAATCTTGTGATTCACTTAAAATTTGGCTTACATTATTAAAGAATCTCTTTTTCAGATGGAACTAGAAAGAATATTTTTCAAAGATGGAAGACAATTTGACTTGGAAGGCAGGTTACAAAAGATTTAGTAATCAACAGAAATCAGCTTTCAATCAGCATGACATAATTTGATTTCCTTTTTAGGTCTCAAAAGCTGTGTAAGACAAGGATACTCCTATATTGAAGGTGTTGAAGAACTTCTTTGTACACTCAAAGACAATGGCTATGAGATTCATGCTTTTACAAATTACCCAATATGGTATGACTGAACTGCAAGGTTTGTCACATACTTATTTGTCAAATGAATAAATCCATATTTATTCTTATATATTTAAAAAAAGACAATTTGCTCAATGATCCTAAATTTCACAACGATAGTGACATTTTATGTTTCAACATTGGAAAAAAACTAAAACATGTTTAACAGAACATGCAACAATGGAACAAAAAAAAAGTTGAGTGAATAATGATAGAAGACAAATTGAAGATTTCCTCTTATTTAATGACATTGTCCCCTTTTCCATCTCTCACTTTTGTTTATTGTTTTATAGGTACAAAATGATAGAAGACAAATTGAAGATTTCCTCTTATTTATCTTGGACATTTTGTTCATGTATAATGGGTACATATAAACATTATTGCCCTTTGAGAATATAATCCTTTTGAGATAATGCATTATTTTAGTATATACTTCCCTAATTGCAGGAAAAAGAAAACCTGATCCCCTTTTCTATTCAGAAGTTATAAAGTACCTTGACACTGAGCCACATAATTGTGTCTTTATTGATGACAGGTATTCTAGTTATAAAGGGTCTGAGTTCAATTAGATCTATGTTATATTAAAGTTATACTCATATGTTTATCAAATTAAAATATCATTTAATGTTGAAAAATAAAGTCCCAACTTTTTCACAAATATGCAACAGGATGAAGAATGTAGAGGCTGCAAAAGAAGCTGGCATCATTGGATTACAGTTCAAGAATGCAGATTTATTGAAGCAGGATTTATCTCTTTTAGGCATCAAATTTGAAAACAAGAACATGGAAAACAAGTTTGAGCAAACACATGGGCTATGAAACTATGAAACCATCCCCAATAATGGTTCATACATTTTTTAGCATTTCTTTTGTTGTAAGAAATATGAAAAAAAAGTATGATTCTTTTCACTGAAGTATGTACAGTGTTCCTTGATGAACACATGGTTCTTTTTTTTTATACATGCTTGATGACAAAAAATAAAAAAGCTATTATAGAATGGCCTCTAGCATGACATACATTCATTTCTTCTCTTATAAAGTTATAAACTTTGTGCTTTATGCCTATAAGATAACTAATTCTTATAGAATGATCCCAAACATGGCATATACATGCTACATTTTTCAAAGTATAATGTTGTAGCATTTATCCCTTAATCTTTGTTCAAACTATGAGAAAGAATTGTTCATATCCTACAACTAATGCAGCTTACTTGGGATGAGACTATTTCCACAGCCTTTTCTACAACAACACTAAACCAAACTTACAATTCAAAGTCAAACAATAAAAGTATAAAACACAAGCCATATACAACTAAAACACCATCATACACTATTCTTTTATGCCCATATCAACTAACAAAACAATTTCATGTGAAATTTCTTCTTTCCTTGTGACCGAGGTGCTATGCTCCTTGCACAACCCCTACAGGATCCAAGGGTAAAATGGGCTTTTCACTTTCCATACGTATGCTCATTTGTATGTTATTGATGCTATGATGCAGAAGCTTTTGATGTTAAAGTATGGAGCATTGATTGAGCAACAATCAACTCCTCTCGAAGCATCACATTGTATTCGTATAAGTTTTGAAGGTTTTTCTGGATTTCTGAAGCACTTAATTCTGAACCGGGTTTGATTTCTGCTAACAAGAAGACAAATAAAATCAATGCAACGAACGGATCGATGGGCATAATGGTAATTTTATCATTTCCGACATCATTTTGATTGGAGGGCATTATGGTAATGTTACCTAAAGAAGGTGGCAAAGGTATGTCATTATTGGTAACCTTTTCTTTCTCATATTTCACATCATCTGACCCCTCATATTCTGCCACCTGTTGAATAAATTAATATGAGTACACAAAATCTTCCTAAAATGCAAGTTTTTTTTTACTAATGTAACAAAAGGTGATTGGAATATAACAAAAAAAAAAAAAAAAAATTAAATAAATAAATAATGCAACTTACTTGGGATGAGATTTTTTCCACAGGGATTGATCCAGAGTTACCAAAACAGCATGCCACTCCTCGGGCTTCACCTTTCTCTTGACTAAACTTCTGTGAAAAAAAAAACAAATAAATTCAAGAAAACAAAAAAGTTTCAAAAATAAACAATTAACCAAAAGAAAATATATAAAAAAAAAATCATTACCTTTTCATCGGGTATGCTAACTTTGGTGTTAAAACTGATTGTATCTTTTCTTATATGATGCTTTCGTTTCTTTGATGATCCTTCATTTTCAAGAGGCAATGAACCACGACCCCATGTAAATATTACATATTTCCTCAACTATTTTCAAACATTAAACAACCAAAAACACATTTGGCATAAAAAAAATCAATGAACTTAAAGTAGACATGAGTTGAATTCTTTATAGAAAAATACAACTTTACCTTGTCCCATCGTTCTTGTGCTTTCCTTTGACTTCTAATCCTTCTCATTATGCTATCTTCATGACGAAACTTCTTGAATCTGTATTCAAACTACACAGGAATTAACTTAGAAAAACTAAAACATGGTTAAAAACTTAAAATAGACAATAATTTATGTAATGTAATAATCATAATCTTGGGAAAATAAGGAAAACATACTTGCACCAAAAGGTAGAAAAAAAGGCCGATACTAATACAATACAAGCCACCCAAATCAGCAAGGAAGCCCACTGTATCCTCGAAAAAGAAAAAGAACTAAATGACCATTGTACCCTTGTATTCCAATTTCCAACAAACAATTTTTCACAATATTCATTAAGTTTAACGTGAGAGGAGGGAAAAAAGGACAAATAGGTAACAAGTTGGTGTCCTAATTAAGTCATTGTGTCCAGATTAAGTCAAAAAGAAACAACCATATATAGTTTTCAAGAATAAGTGCTTAACCAATTAAGAACATTAAGTCAAAAAGAAATAACATAGTCTTGAATCTTGATAAGATACTAACCTGGACCCGAAACATTCTGATTGTCAACTTCAACAATATAAGATGAAAGGAAATTCAAATGAAAAGTGATGTTAACAAATCCATCATTAGAACTTTGTAAAGAACCCCTCAACTGATTAATCTCATCAAACGAAGATCCAGGAAGAAACTCATGAAGAAGAGGTTGTATAAGTTTAAGATCACGTTTATTCCGGTAAATCCGTGGAAATAAATTAAATTGCAAAATATTCGGATCCCTCCCTCTAAACGTAACAAATTTCCCATTATTTCCGCTTCCATTCTTCAAAATCCCACTCACAAAACTCATATGATGTTCGCGTTCATGGTCTTTTGCAGTTAAATTGAACTCAAATCCAACAGCACTTGCGGGTGTATTTGGAAGATCAAGGAAATGCCACGAAGTGTAAAAATTGTCACGAAGAAGTTGACAATTGTTGCATTTGAGGGTGACTTTTGGGCCCTTTGTAGTGTTTTGACATGAAAAATTTGCAAAAGTGGATAATGGGTTTGTTCTAAAATCCAAAAAACCGGGATTTCCTGTGTATAAAGTGCCAAGACCTCGAATATTTGAACAACTCATGGTGGAAATTGTTGTGATGTTGAATTCCATATCGTTGTGGAATGAAGTTAAATCGGGTGCATTTGCTGCTACAACACTGTGCACTTCTATTGTTCTTTTTGATATAATTTGGTAAAGTAACCTGTAATTGTAGCCAAATTAAGTTGTTAGTAGTTAAAATCCAAAATGGGCCATTTTTTTACATATGTGGATTGAAATTGTCATACTAGGAAGACATGAACGATAAAAACAAAGTATTCCATTCATCCCATGAAATTTTGCATTAATTTGGTTTTCACATTTTTTGAAAAGTTTTCAATTAAAGTCGCCAAATTGTCAATTGTCATTGTTTCAGATAAATTGTTTTTGAATTAAATGATTTGGTTCACAAGATTCTTATATTTTTGTCTTTATTAAGTAGTATTTTAAATAACTGAAAAATATCCCAATATTTTGTTTCAAACTATATATATTTTCATAGGATCAAGAATTGATGAAACTGCAGAATGTAGATATAAATAAATTCAATCACTCACGCAGCAAACAAACCAATAAAAAGAATGCAACTTGCAATTGAGAAAGCTCCCCCGAGTTCTGTTTTTCGTTTCTTGAGAACCTTCTGATCATCCTACATAAACAATAAAGTATAAATAAAGAAGATTAAATTTCAAAATTTCAAAGCTCGAATGTCTCTCAAGAACATAAATTCAATCCAATAATTCATTCAAATTAGCTAAATTCAGTAGTCAAGTTTCAAACTAAACAGGAACCCTAGATTTCAGACCTTATAATAAAGAAACATAACCTAAAAGCACATCGATTTTGAATTTGAAAAGCTCAAAAGCAGCTCAAATCAAAATTTCAAGAACAAAAACGAGCTAGGAAAATTACCAGCCAGTGGCGAGTAGCAAAACATATATCCAATCTGCTAATCGCCCATCTGATCTTATACCACGGTGTTCTTCCATCACCAAGATCTCCAAACCTCACAAAAAAACAGAACAAGAGCCAAGTCACGATCATCACAAGGGTAGCACCAAGAAACACGCCCTGCGACTGCGTGTACTTCTTGATTGAATCAAATGACAAGATGGTCTCTGGGAAATTGATCGAATAATCAACTCCGGTGCCCACTAAGAATTCGTCGGCGCCGGAGACGGTGAAAGGGGAGCATACGTTGGCGGTGGCGTTGTACAAGAACCCTGGATTGCAAGCGCATGAAGAAGAATTGAAACGGAAGGAATTAGTGCTTGGGCACTGCATGTTTGCAAGATTTGGTTCTGGGTTTAGCGATTATGTATGAACAGAATTGGGGTTTGGGTTTTTGTATTTTGCTGGAGATCTTGGAGAACTTGGGATTTGTTTGTGTAGGTGACGAAGAAAAGAATTTCTAGAAGTTTGGAAAAACCAACAGACAAAGATTCATTGGTTCGTTTACTTTTTCATTCTTTGACAGTTTGTTTCCGGTTGCATTCGTTAACTCTGTAAACCATATTTTTAAAGACTTATCTACTAAAAGAGACAGGAGAGCCGCCGGTATTGCCACCACGATTTCGTCTAGAGGTGGGCAAAATGGGTCCAAGGCCGGTCCGATCTTTTTAAGATCGGTTTTTTTTTTTTTTTTGAGTGGGTCTAAAAGTTTTTCGGTCTTTTTTTTGCCAAGTTTAATTTTTTAAGACGGATATAAAAAAGATGGTTAGGACAGTCTGTTCATATAAAAAACATGTGGTCGGACACTTAATGTTAATGATGAACCAATATGATGTGTTTTGGTAATAGTGTTGGCAAGTGGGATTCATATAGGTATAATGATATTTAATTTGTAACATAAAATTTCTCCAACACATTTTCTATGTAAGCCCTCTCAGGATTAGGATGGATATATGGGGCAACAAACATAAATATGTATACTTAAAGATTCAACATCGGAAACAAGATGTTTATTGAAATTATTTAGAATGCTTCAAGTAGTCGAATGATGTTAAGTAGTTGTGGACATAAAGTAGAATGTTGAATTGTTGATAGATACGTCCATTTAACAATTAAAACTTAATAAATATAATAATAAAGTAAATTAAAAGTTTAATAGAGTCAAATTAAAGAAGTTATGTTATAAGGACTAAAGTTGTTAACTCATAAAAATTGCGACTCTTGTTGACCATATATGACTTGAAAGTCGTAAACTATATGGGAAATGTTATTTGACGAAAAAAATAAAAAAATAAATAAAGAACTAGTTAGTTCCAATTCAAAATGTTGGTCTAAGTATAAGTTTTTGAAGTTGAGGGATCATATTAGGCAAAGGCTCATAATTTTAGATTGAATCTTCAGTCATCCAAACGAATTCAACAAAATGAAGCTCCTTCCACGGAAAATTTCTTTTCCCCATGCTGTTCTGAAGCATATATGATGACCTAGTGAAGATCCATACATTTCCTCATCAATTTCTTTCTCCAAGAGCTACTTTTGTTTTCTAATTTCTCTATTCCATTATACAGGGTTTTTGTTAAGATGTGGAACCCGAATTCCAATTTTAATTATATGCTCTAATGGAGTTTCTAAACTTTATTCTTCTATTTGATTCAATCCCTAAATAACATTAGAGGTGACTGGACCTTTTTTTGGACATTTGGACCGGTTCTCAGTTTTAGGAATCCATCAAAATCGGTCCTGTATTTTTCCAGGTCCCGTCCGGTTTTTACCGGGTTTAGAATCGGTTGGACCTGATTTTAAAAAAATTGTAATATGTGAAATTTTTTAAACAATCATAACTCATTCGTTTTAAGTCGTATGGACACATAGTTTTTTCCAATGTTTAATTTGCAGTTTGTAGATGGATTTAGACTATAATTTTGTTGATTTTTGAATTATATTCAATGAGTTAAAGTCTTTTAAAGTTGAGCTATCAAAGCTGAAAAATTTCAGCTTTTCAGTAACATTTTTAAAATTTTGTAATCTGTGAAAATTTTTAAACAACCATAACTCATTCGCTTTTAGTTGGATTGACACGCGGTTTTTTCCAGCGTTTAATTTACAGTTTGTAGATGAATATAATTATAATTTTGTTGATTTTGATATTATATTCAACGAGTTATAGTGTTTCAAAGTTAAGCTATCAAAGCTGAAA